GAGGACTACCTCTATAGCTTCGAGGGACTCCTCGGTAGGTGCTTCAGCCTCGGCTTCTTCCACTGCCTTGAGATACTTGGGCAGAGGATACTGTAACTGCTATTTGATTGCGTCTTTGGGATTCGCCTCTGACTGAGGTGATTTCGACGCCTTCTTTGCTTCATATAGCGTTAGCATGTAACATTCTTTTGCAGCAACCTGGTCTCCCCAGAGGTCGATGACCTCCCCGCCATCTGGGGATAAACACCTCATTACTTGATGAAGGGTAGAGGGGATTCCGTTCATACGATGGATCCAACCTCTCCCCATAATGAGGTTATAAGATGGATGAATCTCCGTCACGACAAAGTTCTCCTTCAGAGTCCTCTTTGTTGCAGTAACGGATAGATCGATCACCCCAAGCGGATTCACCTTAGTACCATCAAACCCCATTAGGGGGCTGGAAGTTGGCCTGATAGACGATGGTGAAACCCCCAGCTGATCGAAAGCTGCTTTTGTAATGATATTGGCGCTACTTTCCAGATCTATCAGCACTCTCCTGATCATATAACTCTCTACTAGGAGGCTAATGACCAAGGGGTCCTCATGCGGGCGCTGGACTCTAGACAGATCATTGTTACCGAATCCAATGTTGATGTTGCCTGGTGCAACCGTGTTTACCGAAGACAATCTTCGTAACTTATGAGCCTCTCTCAGCCGGATCTGTACAACTCTTCAGACTATTCATCATCCTCTGACCTTCCGTGTATGGCATGGATAACCTTTGCCTGACCGCCCTCTACCCGTCAAGGGTTAACCTCCCGAGGTTTTACGTACTCCTTCGTGTCAAGATACTCCACCAACTCTCCTCTCGCTATCATGCTTTCTACCTGTCGCTGAAGGGACCTGCAGTCATTGGTGGTATGCCGATAGTCTCTATGGTAGGCACAATGTTTGCTTTTGTCCCTCTGCTCTAAGGGTTGTTTCATGGGCTGAGGAGTTGCGAACCTCGTCTTATTCTCTTGGAATAGGCGCGCTAAGGTAGTACGGAGAGGGGTAAGCCTGTCCTCTGTCCTTTGCCTCTTCTCAGGCGCTTGGGTGACTTGTGTGGCGGCATGAGGAACCTTCTGCATCCTTGTGCTTGCAGCTTTCTCTCGAGACTTGTTTTCCATTGTGACGAGGGTAGCGTGCTGTGCATGGTGGGCTACGTTTTCCTCCAACCGAATGTAGATTTGTGCCCTAGCGTTCAAAGTCTGCATATCCGGGGGGGGGGGGAATATTTGATCAAGGATGTGTGAAACTTGGTTCCCTGGATCATTGCCAACTTAAATGTTTCGATTGCCGTGGCAGGGTGGCAATCTGCTATCTCCGAGGCTTCCATGTTAAACCTGGATAAGAAATCTTACAGAGTTTCTCCCTTCCTTTGCCTTATGGTGAAAAGGCTGGCGATACTTTTTTTCTGCTTCTTATTTTCGCAATACTGGGCTAAGAACATAGTGACAAGGTCTTATAATCAGGGATAGACTTGTGTGGCCTATTCCTGAACCATTCTAACGCTGCTCCGGTTAAACTGGTAGGAAAAACCTTACACATCCACGGATCATTATGATCGTCCAGTGCCATCTTTTACGTATAATGATCGAGATGCCGAGATGGGTCTCCTGCCCCATCGAACTGGGTGAAGGATGGCATAGTGAACTTCCTTGGTCTCTCCACAAGGTACACATCGTCAGTAAAGGGGGTCTTGACCAAGGAGTTCTTATGCTTTCTATCCATCTCGGCTGGTGTCTGAACTCTTAATAGTTTCTTTTCGTCGAAGGCATCTTGTACGCGTGCGCCATCTGGAACGCCATTGGACCATACCGTAAACCTATGGCTGGACTCGGCCTGTTCGTCCTGTGTGCGACGCGGGAGATTGTCCGAAGCAACCGCCTCGGACCTTGTCCCTTGCTGTTGCTGAACCTCATTAGGTCGAGCCCCGTTGGATGGTGTCCCGTTGGCCGGAGGCTCGTGAACTGGAGGTAAATTCTGGGTGGGGGGTGGTGCTGCAGCATCGCCTGGTGGTGGTTGTGGCGTTAGCCTGGCCATTACCGTGTGCAGCGTATGAGTTTGCTGCTGAAGCGCAGCTATCTGGGCGACACTCGTATCGTTTGCTTGTCGGAGTGTCTCAAATTGGTGCAAGAACTCCTCTCGCATCTTTTGCATCAATTCTATCTGTTGATTCATTGCTGACTCTCCGTTTGACATTCCAGATACGACTAAGGATTTGATTTGAAGAACAAGTGGGAGTATATTTTTATACGATTCCCACAGACGGCGCCAAAGTGTAGGTGCAGAATTTCGCTCAACCAATAATGATTAAGAAAAATAAAACAACTCACTCAATCAATAGTAAAAATAAACAAGAACAATATATGTCGAAGCGTAGAATTGCTTGATCCCTTTATTGGAGGTCTAAGCCTCAATTTATATACAAAAGATTGTAAAATTATGGTAGGACTCGCGTTACTTGTCCTCCAATTATTTCTATATAAACATTCTTTACTAATAGAGTTCTTTCCATTGTCTAATTTTCCATACATAGAACTTGCCTTGTACAGAATTTCCTATCTCAGAATTTTCCTTCTACGGTAAATCCTTCAACTGGTAGGACTTGTGTATTCTTGAATAACTGGGCTGAGCATACTTTAATCCGGCTGGGCTTGAGTAACGGACCGGATGTTAAATATTAACAAGTTGGGCTGATGACCTCTTGATTCGGCCTTGATGGAGGTTGGAAGACAAATAACAATGGTCTTGGGCTAAAAATATACTCAATTTGGACTTGAGCATGGTGGGCCTTATATGTCCTTGGAATGTAGATATGTGTAGTGATGACGTGTACGCTTCTTATTGGAAGGAGTTTTTTTCCCTCCACACCTGGAGTTTGGGCAAATTACACACGGGTAAATCATTCACATTTTTTACTTTGACCTCCTCTAAATCAGTTCGTAGGGTGCCAAAAAATGACTGAATGTGAAAAGTCAATAATACTTTTATATTATAATAATATTATATATCGCATTTTATACTCGAGAATGACAAAATCATCTTTTTATAAAATTTGGTCAATAGGCCTAGAAGAAGAAAATGTAGAGTGTGTAATTTACTCATTTTGGATAATGTATTTATGTGTAATTTATCTAAATTTTAGTGGAGATTATTGTAATTTGCGAGTTTTGTATTGTCCCTGTTTTTTATACCTGGTTGGTGATTCCAAGTTAACCGATCCACGTGACATTGTATAAGTCAGTCCAAACACTACATGGTGACACCGCCAAACTTTTGATGCTGTGGGCTATGTTATAAATCATTTATAAATGCCTATATCTATAAACACGTGGCATTAGAAAAATAAACACGTGGAGCATTTCTTATGGATAAGGTACTCATATCTAATTGTCATATTTATCTAATAAACTACAGAATTTAGACTTAAAAACTAGAAATTTTTACATTAAAATATAACTAATGTCCAAATACTGTCATGTTATTGTTATTTGCAATACAGAGGTTCTGTCAAGTGGGGGCAGTGTTAAAAAATAAAAATAAAAATAATAAAAATTAATAATCACAACAATAAATATAAATTCTATAAATTAAGAGACAAAAAAATATATATATTAAAATAATATGTCAATTAATAAATAATTTAAGAAAAAACGTATTTAAAGAGTAAAAAAAAAAAAAAATACAAAATTTAAGAGATGATTTTAGAAAATAAAAATTTTAGGGGGCAATTATATGAATTTTTTCATATATACATGTAAAAATATATATATTTAGTATATATATTATAATAAGCAGGCCCGGTCAGGGGCATGTGCCCCGACATACACCGGCTTTATGTCTTACAGTTTTTACTTTTTAAAGCATTTCACATTAGAAATATTCAAAGTAATAATTTAAAGCAAGAGATGATTTATTTAGGTCATGATCGATCCTCTAGCATATTTTCCCTATAGTTAAGAGAATTAGGTTAATAATATTTATTATTTAGTGATAGTTTAATGGAATATCACTAGAAAATATACCAAAAATGTTTGATTTCCAAATAAATGAGTAATAAATTCAGTTGTTCATGGGTTGTGTCATGTGTGACATGTTTTATCATTTATGAACTTATACGTATAAAAAAAACATCAACAAAAGTGAAAATCCGTTGATACATTCTTTAAAGGTAAAAAGAAAAAGAAGAAAAGAGAGCATAATTTAAATATAAAAACCCACCTCACAATCTTTACTATTAAATATTTTTCTAACTTTAGTCCCAGAGTTGATTCTGAAATGAAACATCGATAATGTGATGATAAATTTGTTGATACGAAAATAATTTTAAATCTTGTTCTGTGTTAAATGATTTATATATTTTGTATTACTAATATATTTTACTCATTTTAAGTAATATTTAATTTGAATTTTTTTTTAACTAGTTAATTTAACAAAACCAAATTACTAACAAACATGTGAGTCCCACCATCATGTGATGGTTGAGTTTACACAGGCTGTTAATATTCCGGTATCATTGAATTGATTTATTTCAAAGTGACATTGAGATCCTACTTATCCCACAGTGTTAGTGAGATTCACAAGACATTTGAATGTTTAGGCGTAAATTTTTTTTATTTTATGATGTTTGATTGTAATAAAATATTTACAAAAAAAAAATATTAAAATTTAACAAAAATAATTTATTCATTAATTTTTTACAAGTTATTTTACATGCCTCGTCCGATGGACTTAATTTCAACCTTAACATAAACTTTTATCAAACACCAACAAAATAAAAATAAAAAAAAAAATATTTTATGTCGAAGTAAACGGAGCCTTAATTTAATTTAAGAGTCATTTATTTTGTTTTAAGTACTAAATTGAATTGTTAAAAATGAAATTGTACCTCCTTAACTAAGTGGCCAATGGTCCAAGAAACGTGCCCTATATTTATGACTTTTTACTAGTAGCGGCAAACCGCCTTTCTACAAGCCCACCTGTTCTCTCACTAGGGAATAGCAAACCGCCTTAGCCCTCTGATTTTTCGCTCTCTTTTTTTCCTCTCTCTATCTATCCCTCTCTCTCTCTATCTTTCCTTCCTAATTAAGCCGGAAGCCGAACGCATCGTTTTCTCAGAATCTTTCACTCCCACGAATCCGAGTCTCTCAATCTCCAATCTCCAACAAACAATTTAGTCTCTCCGGTGAAGAACATACGTATTAGTTTCACAATCAGAATCGCAAATTCACGGTTTCGAGCTCTAAATGGCCTGAGATTTTCCATTGATCAGGTGAGTCAATCGTCGATCACTGATCTACCTACCAGCCTTTATCGTACCTTCCATCGATTGCATTTTCGTCTCTGTTTTGAATTTATCTTGTTTCCGTATTCATACATGTGTTGAGTCGATGGAATTGAGATTATCAGAAACCTGAATGGGATTGACGAGATTGATTTTTTTGGGTGAATGGACCTAGGTTTTTAATCACGAAACCCTAATTTTTCTCAGATTATCTCTTCTGGTGATGATTCTGTGTGTTTTGGATGTATTGACCGTGTTGAATTGACTTGAAGTCAACGTTAAGTCTTCTTGGTATTATCTGTAGTTTATATACAGGCATTTATATATAATATATGTCACATTATAGAGGACACATTTAAATGAAAAACACAGATTGGGATCAAATCATGAGCATGGTGCATGAATGACTGCATACATAATAGCTCCTTGAATTGTATTTGTTCCTATTTGTAAATTGATATTTCAATAGTGCATACATGCTAACCACCAAGCATTAGCTTGAGTGGTATCTCCTCCATATTCTTCACAAGTACTGAATGGGATGAAATGGGTGCTGAGTGTTTCTTACTTGTTACACACTATTTGTATGCATTCCTTTTGTAAGAGGCACCTGCACCTGCTACTTCATGTGCATAATAATCGTTACAATTTGTTTATTAAATCCAAATTTTACTCAATTTTCGAACCAGCACCTTTTACTACCAAGGATAAAATTGAATTTGATGACTTAATTTACCCGAAGATTTCTACTTTTGTAGACTAAAGATGATGATGGCGATGCCAGTGTTGTTTGCACAGCAAGGAGGGGTGAACCATTGCATTGATATTAAAACACAGACGAGCACAGATACCCCAACGGTTCGTTATACAAGAAAGAGAAAATCTGCAGAACTCAATGATAGTGTAAAACATATACTAGAAGGAGAAGAAGGAAAGAAAAATGGAGGGTCATCACCAAAGAACACCAAAACTTCAGTGAAAAAGAAAAGGTCGTGTAGAGATATTAAATGTTCATATGGTAGAACCTCAGAGAAGCATTGGAGTGCCTCAAACAAGAAAAGAACTGTAGAAGATGAATTTACTTCAGGAGAAAGGGAAAGTGATGAAAAGAAAGTGGGGCCATCAGACGGAAAAATAAGCTCAGTTAAGAAGACAATGTCAACTCAGGGAACTGAAAGATCACAAAGCATCAAACCTTCAGGAAAGCATAACTATCCCTCAAATAAGTACATAATTCTTGAAGATGAATCCTCAATGAGTGAAAAGGATGATAATTATGAGAAAAAAGAAGAGGAACTCAGGACATCATCTCCAAGAATAAAAAGTTCAATTAGAAAAAGAAGGGTGACTTCATATACCAAATGCTCTCATGGTAAAGGAGTTTCAAAGAAGCATCAGGGTGTCTTAAGAAAGAGAAGACTTCTTGTTGGATTTTCTTCTGATGAAGAAGAGGAATTTAAAGTCAATATTGCAGGTTCATTATCCAGTACTGGAATAAAAATTTCAACTGAAGAAAGCAAGGTAACACTAGAAGTCGAAGGCCCTGGTAAAAGAATTTCAGAAAGACAACGTGCTGCCTCAAACAAGAGAAGTGTCTTTGATAATGAATTTTATTATTGTGAGTGGGTAGATGATGAAGAAAATATGGATGAAATGGAAATAGAGTCGAGGAGCAGATGCAAAGGTTCAGATGCTGTGAAGATGAAAAGAAGTTTGGAGGACAACGGAGAGAAAATTAATGAATATAAGGATCTGTCTTGCTATCAATCATCTACTTCCTCCTCGAGTTCGAATGCTGTGAAGATGAAAAGAATTTTGGAGGGCAAAGGAGAGAAAATTAATGGCTATAAGGATACATCTTGCTATCATTCATCTACTTCTTCCTCGAGTTCAAATGCTTTGAAGATGAAGGGAAGTTGCAAAGGAGAGAAAATTAATGACTATAAGGATCTGTCTTGCAATCATTCATCTACTTCTTCCTCACCTTCCAATTCTTGTCAATTGGTTTCAGTTTCAAAAAGTGATCACAGATGCATAAAGAAGAATATGAAGGTCAAAATCCCCTCTTTGATTATTTGTCCAATATATGAATTATATCTTTCTTTTCCTTTATCTCTTTTGAAGTAAAGGATTTACTGGTTGACATTATATTATCGCCTTAAGCAGGAAAATGGAGAAGAGTGCTTAAAGTGTCATCAGTGCTGGAGAAATGATAGAAGAATTGTTGTTCCTTGCACCAAGTGCAAAAAACTACTATATTGTATCCAATGTATCAGGCAGTGGTAACTTTTCTACCTATACCCTGGTTTCCTTCTGACCCTTTTTTTTCGTTGGTTTTCTTTTGTTTTCCATACCGTTCCCTTTTTATGATATTCTTTTCTTTTCCTTGGGTAAATAGGTATCCTGACTTGTCAGAAGAAGAAATTGCAGACTTTTGCCCATTTTGCCGAGGAATTTGCAATTGCACCATGTGCTTGCACTCAAGTGGCATGCTTAAGGTTTGATTATATCTTCTCTAGCTATAGTTACGAGGCACTATATATATATATATATATATATATATAAATATATATGATAAGTACCTTAGAAACTCATGTTATAAAAAAGGGGAATTTTTAATCTTCAGATGTCTAAAAGGGATCTCACTGATCGCGAAAAGCTTCAGCATCTTCAGTATTTAATCAACTCGCTTCTTCCATTTCTAAAACAAATTCATGAAGAACAAACTCTCGAAACAGAAAAGGAGTCTGATATTAAAGGTATATGTCTCTCAAATTATAGGTATGAATTCTTGAAACTAATAAATTATATTATTCACTAACAATCTTTTGTTATAGGGGTGGTGTCGTCTCGAATTGAAATAAAAAGGACCATTTGCTGCGCTGATGAGCGTATCTATTGGTAAGTTTATTTATTTGCTTTGGAGTAATTGTGTGAGTTTATATATAATTCTGCTAGAACTTCTTCTTTTGCAATAGCTAGCTAGCTTCTTTTACAATTGCTTACTTCTTCTTTTAACCTTTCTTGCACCTGGAGCAGCAATCACTGTGCAACTTCAATCACTGACCTCCATCGAAGTTGCCCAAATTGCTCTTATGAGCTCTGTCTTAGTTGTTGCCGGGAGCTTCGCAAGGGAGACATTTCAAGAGGTGGCAACAGAGTTGGTTTCAAATATTTGAATAGAGGTTATGATTACATGCATGGAGGAGATCCTCTACCAGAATCTTGTCATCAGGAAACTTCTGAAGATCATAATGAGCTACTAACTGTATGGGTTGCTGAAGGTAATGGAAGTATCACTTGCCCTCCAAAAGAAATGGGTGGATGTGGTAGTTGTGATTTGGAGCTCAGGTGTATACTTCCAGAGGGCTGGATTTCAAATTTGGAAGCAAAAGCAGAACACATATTAAGGAACTATAAACATGACCGAACAATTTCCAGGCCCAATTTTCGCAAAAATGGCACTGGTATGTTACTTAAAGCAGCTTCTAGAAAAGACTCTGCTGACAACTACTTGTATTGGCCGACTTCCAAAGATGTCTTAGAGGAGGAAGGGTTCTTGCGCTTCCAAAACCATTGGGCCAAAGGTGAACCGGTGATTGTTCAACATGTTCTTGAGCAGACATCTGGTTTAAGCTGGGAGCCGATGGTGATTTGGCGTGCATTATGTGAAAACTTGGATTCAAGGATCAGTTCAAAAATGTCAGAAGTGAAGGCCATTGACTGTCTAGCGGGTTGCGAGGTAAACTCTTCCTGTGCTCCATTTTGATACCTCAAAATACATTTCAGTATTTGTAGCATGTTTTGGTTTTGGTTCCATTACACATTTAATAATTCTTGTTAGCAAAAATCCTAGTATCTTTTTTTCATTGGCAAGACACACATTCACACACCTACTTTGTTGTGAGACTCCTTTTATACTTTTACGACCCATTGTTACTCGCTAATTTTTCTTCTGATTTTATTTTGTTATATATTGCGCAGGTTGAGATCAATGCCCGTAGTTTTTTCAAAGGTTATACAGACGGCAGAAGATACGATAATTTCTGGCCTGAGATGCTCAAGCTAAAGGACTGGCCACCATCTGATAAGTTTGAGGATCTCTTGCCACGCCACGCTGATGAGTTTATTAGCGCATTACCTTTCCAGGAATACACAGATCCTAGGTCTGGTTTTCTTAATCTTGCTGTAAAGTTGCCTTCAGATGTTCTTAAACCTGACTTGGGTCCAAAGACATACATTGCGTACGGTACTGCAGAAGAACTTGGAAGGGGGGATTCTGTGACAAAGCTTCATTGCGATATGTCAGATGCGGTATGATTTTAAAAACTATCTAGTACTGTTGCACTTTGGGTAGTAATTAGTAATGAATTGGACCAGCCATTGTTCCTTCCTGATTTGATTTCATTGGTCCAAGTTCATTGTTAGTTCTAATACGAGGGGTTCTTTTTTGTGAAAATCGTCTCTTGATGTGTGAATGACCCGATGTTGGCTTCAAAGTTCAATTATAAACCAACTTCTTGGCAATGCACAAAACTTGGACAATTAAACAAAAATGTGACCATTTTTGTGTTTCCTTTTCTTTTTGTTAATTTGGAGTCCTCAAATATGTTGCATTTCATCTGTATTATGGACCAAATTTCACAAACAGGCGTGCTGGTTTTGTACATAATTCCTGCTTTTGTGTAGGGCTCTTGTTGCATCTTTTTGATATTGAAATCTTCAATATGTTCTCCCCCTTCTACTGGGAACTTATTTTCTTCCAAATTTTGGCTTGTTGCAGGTTAACATTTTGACACACACTGCTGAAGTTGTGTTGGATAAGGTGCAGCATTCTGCAATCAAAATCCTGAAACAGAAACATAGAGCACAAGATGAAAGAGAACGCGTAGATCGAGAGAAACTTGGTAGTGGCATCAATGAAAAAAGAGTAGATGAGCACGAAAGACATTTTACATTTCCTTGTTCTTCACCAGAAGGTGCAATTGAGGAAATGGGTGATGCACTATGGGACATTTTTCGAAGGGAAGACATACCCAAGTTACAAGAATATCTTACAAAGCACTCAAGTGAATTTCGACATACCTTTTGTTGTCCAATAGAACAGGTAGTTTTCTGACAAGTAAATTTTCAGTTCAGCTTATTCAAATGTATTATAGGATCTGAGAAAAATCATTGTTTTTATTAGGTGGTTCATCCAATTCATGACCAATCCTTTTACCTGACTTTGGATCACAAAAGGAAACTCAAGGAGGAATTTGGTTAGTTTTTAAAGATGCATTATTAATTTTTGTTACAAGAATAAAACAACAATTTATGAATTTTTTTATTTTTATTTTTTATGTTATAGGAATTGAACCATGGACTTTTGAGCAACGACTTGGAGAGGCAGTGTTCATTCCTGCTGGATGTCCACATCAAGTCAGAAATTTGAAGGTATTTTTTTTTTTATATTCAAGTCGAGAATGGCATTCATGAACATGGATTTAGATGCGCTCCATTAGTTATTAGTTTTTCTTATTAGTTTTCCTTTCCAAGTCATCATCTAACTAATATCAACATGTCACGGCATCACTTTTATTAGGATTTAATTGCATATAATAACCATAACATAACATAAATGATATTTATGCAGGTCATAACTGTTATTAACATATCACCTCATCACTAGGATTTAATTGTGTACATATAATAACCATAACATAACATAAATGATATTTATGCAGGTCATAACTGTTATTAAAATATCACCTCATCACTTTTGTTAGAATGCCTATGAAAAACGGCCGGTTCAGTTGTGTGAATCCGTACACCACCCGGTAAACCGGTGGGTACAAAATACAGTTCGAACTTGCCGGTATGCACAAAACTGACAAAACAATGGCGTGACCACATCATCGAGAAATTGCATTTCCCATGAACATTATATAGTTTTCTCACAACAATTATTGTTTACATTATATATAGTTTCTTATAAATTTTTTTGTTTTATCTATAAAACCAGTCATGCACCAAAGTCGCAGTAGACTTTGTTTCCCCTGAAAATGTACGAGAGTGCATGAAATTAACTGAAGAGTTCAGAAGGCTACCTAAAGACCACAAGGCCAGAGAAGACAAACTAGAGGTACAACATTACATGCTATTATTTAAAATCAGTTCTGAATATCAATTTCTATGTTTTGATATGGTCAAATAAATAAAAAATATTTTCAACATGGTCAAATAAATAAAAAATATTTTCTCATACAATTTTTATTTTTATTTTTTCACTTTGTGGAATGACAGATAAAGAAAATGATCATTCATGCAATTGACAAAGCAGTTACAGAAATTGAAGGCTCATATGCTCATTGACGATGCCTTTCTCAGAATCTGCAACAAATAATTCACATCAGTCTTGTATTTTTGTTGTTTTACTACTGTGGTCCTTGGATTTTTGTAATTAATGTATAAATGCCAGGGACATTTTGGTAAATCTAGAGCTAGCATTGGTACTTGGGTCTGCCTAAGCCGTTGGCCGATTGAGGATACATTTGGGAGATTTATAAAATATAAATGAAAGAGCCTTTTTTCAGAATCTGAAGCAAATTGTATTTTTGTTGTTTTACTACTGTGGTCCTTGGATTTTTGTAATTAATGTATAAACGCCAGTGACATTTTGGTAAATCTAGAGCTAGCATTGGTATTTGGGTCTGCCAGATAACATTGAGGATACATTTGGGAGATTTATATAATATTATTATATGGAAGAGCCTTCTGGATGAGCTTGTGATTCTAAAATGTGGGCGCGGCTGGAAACGAAACGACCCGCGCTGAGTAGTGCATGCTTGGCCGTACAGCAAGTGCTCAGCTCGAGCTTCCACCCTAGTGTAAAAATGCATCACATTTGACATGGTTGCGACACCCAAGTACATATGCAAAAAACATAAAACAAATTCAATAGTCCTGAAATTATGTAATAATTTTTCTACACACACGACACACCTACGCAAACACACTAATAGACATACACTAATAGACATAAATATTGATTTGCATATCTACTGAATAAGATAATTATACAACTTTAATTAATTATAATTAAATATTAATTTATAATTTAAAAGGATGTGTCAAATATAAAATTATTTTTAAATTATGGACATGGCCACATGTCGGACCAATGTCTTGGAGTGTTTGGGTGTACCAAAAAACAAAAATAATGATTACGACACTTACAGATTTCTTTACTGTTCAACTTTGATTCCAAAAATATGAAACTGTTTATAAATAATTCGATTCCGATTTAGCCGAATCAAATAATAAGATTAAACTATATTAAATTATACACACACACACACACACACACACACACACACACACACACACACACACACTATAATCTGAAGGCCAAAATATCCTATAACGGTCCAATACGAAGGGTGCCCTAGTGTTCATCTACAAAGCATGGACACTTTTATGAATGAGAAGTACCAGTGTCGTGTCCGAGTCGAACACCAACACTGAGTCGAACACCAACACTCGTCCGAATTGAACACCAACCACTGTCCATAAATAAAAATTATCGAACATCGACACTCTTCGAACACGTGTCCATAAATAAAAATTAAATTTTATTAGACCGGCTTCGCCAACACACTTTGTAACATTTCTAGTACAAGTCTACTAGGTAATCTTGAATATAATATAAACACTAAATGAAAATCAAATATTATTAAAAAAAAAAAAAAAAAAAAAAAAAAAAAACACAACACTACGACAAAGTAGTGAAATAATGGTATATATGATATAAAAGTCATTATAATAATAACATAATTTAATATTATAAAAACACTTACTATAAAAATTAGAAATTAATGAAAGTTTTATAATACTATTACTTAATAGATATATATAAATAAAAAATCATATTTATATATACTCGTAGTCGTATCAGTGCTGAACCGTGTCCATGCTACACAGCTGTTAATAAAGTGTCGATATTTGACATCATATGTAAAAATCCATCAACAAACTAAAATCCAACAAAGCAAATTTCATACAACTATAGAAGAATCACCCAACGAGTGCAATACTTACTAGACGATTTCTTTACGATTCGACTTCGGTTCCAAAGGTTCAACTTTGGTTCCAAAAATATAAAACTATTTATAAATAATTCAATTCCAATTTAGTTGAATCGAATAATAGAACAATAAGATTAAACTATATTGAATTACAGACACACACATACACACACTATAATCCAAAGGGTCCAAAATGTCCAATACGAAAGGTGTGTGCCCTAGTGTTCATCTACAAAGTATGGACACTTCTATGAATGAGAAGCACTCGTGTCGTGTTCGCATTGAAAAATAAAAATTCATATTTATATATAACCGTATTAGCGCTGAACGTGTCCATGCTACATAGTTGTTCATAAAGTGTCAAATATGTAAAAATCCATCAACAAACAAAAATGCAACAAATCAAATTTCATACAACTATAGAAGAATCACCCAATGATTACGACACTTACCAGACGATTTCTTTACAGTTCGACTTTGGTTCCAAAAATATGAAACTATTTATAAATAATTCGATTCCAATTTAGCCTGATCGAATAATAGAATAATAAGATTAAACTATGTTGAATTATATATATATATCTCTACTATAATCCGAAGGGTCCAAAATATCCTATAACGGTCCAATAGGAAGGGTGTGTGCCCTAGTGTTCATCTACAAAGCATGAACACTTCTACGAATGAGAAGTACTCGTGTTTTGTCCGAATCGAACACCAACACTCCTCGTCCGAATCGAACACCAACACTGTCCATAAATAAAAATTATGGAATAGACACTCCTCGGACACATGTCCATAAATACAAATTAAATTTTATTATTTTGGACACTTAGGCCTGCCGAAATTGCCGGACAAACACTTTGTCGACACACTTTGTAGCATTTCTAGCACAAATCTACCAGGTAATCTGGAATATAATATAAACACATAAATACATACATATGAATGCTAAGTGAAGAAAAAAAGTCATTATAATAATAACATAATTTAATATTATAAATACGCTTACTATAAAAATTAGAAATAAATTATAATTTTATAATGCTATTACTTAATATATATATATAAATAAAAATTCATATTTATATATAGCAGTATTAGCGCTGAACTGTGTCTATGCTACATAGCTGTTCATAAGGTGTCAAATATCACATATTTGACAGCATATGTAAAAAATCCATCAACAAACTAAAATCTAACAAAGCAAATTTCATACAACAATAGAAGAATCACCCTATGAAAAAAAATTCCCAAATTTTATAGAAGCAAGAGAGGTGGAAGAATAACCAAATTTTTTAGAGGCTGGAAGAGTTACCGGTAGGCATCGTTTGTGAGTTCCGATGTCGCCATCCTTCCATGCCAAGGCTAACGAACACAGAGGATGAGTGGCAAATGAGAGTACATTTTTTGCAAGAAAAGAATCAAATATTTATACATACATAGATTCATATACATACACACAAACAAACAAGACATATATAGATATAGAAAAATTTACAAACCTGCAGTCGTATTTCCTTCATCATCATAAACGCCATTAGGCATTCTTCTCCGTAAGGAGAGACAATCGAGATAAGTAAGACATGTAAGAGCCTACAACATACAAACGGAAAAAAAAAAAAAAAAAAAGGAATTAAGATTTGTATAAATAGAATATTTATAGGTATTAAAAACCAGACTATTATATTATATTATTATAGTTATATTGTATGAATAAAATATTAAACTAAAATAGTCTTGACATAATCCTAATATTTCTTATTGTAGAAATTCTGGTACCAAATTTGTAACGACCCGAACCTGGAGGTCCGAATCGTTAATTGGTTGGTCCTTACTCAAACCCGAGGTCGTTTAAAGGCATCAAAGTCCTATCTAATATCAATGCATAATAAATATAGGTCACATCTCTAACATTAGAGAAAACTCACAATTGCGGGTGGATAAGGCTATGTCGGCCGTCATTTCCTTCCCATGGCCTGAAAAATGTTAATAATAAAATGGGGTGATCCAACCGCTCAGGAAGTGTCTAAGACACACCTCGTACGACCCCGTGAATCCACATAAAGAATAGAGTGTAAGTGAACGGAATCATGCCTCATAGTATGAACAATTACATACTTAAGTTACTCGACTAAGTGTGCAATACATGCTAATGAAATGCCATGCAAAGTCGCTTCCCATTTTCACATTTTCCAAAACAATACCGTTTCACCTTTCAAACCATTAGTGCAATCCGACCCCAAGTTTTTTAACAATTAACTTTAAAAAAAATATATTTTATTCAAAGACTTGTTTTAAAGTATATTTGAGAGACATAAAGATATGAAGTCAATGAGTTTAGAGTATTTTGAAATTAAATCGGCTTTAGATGAACGAATCACCATCAAACTGTGAAACCAATAGAACCAAACCAAACCAAACCAAACCAAACTAAACCGCCCAATTCGGTTTTATAATGTAGTCGGCAAAAGTACAATTTTTAAGCATCCACATAAGTATGGAATTGTTCGGTAAACAATTCCATGTTTTTCGATTTGGGTTTCGATTTGGGGACCAAATCGGTTTTATAATGTAGTTGGCAAAAGTAAAATTTTTAAGCATCCACATAAGTAACAAAGAATCGGACCAACGGTAAACAATTCCATGTTTTTCGATTTGGGACCGGATTGAATGGTACAAAATCGGATCGGATCAAAGTGACGGTTCCATGACTTTTTGTGCACCCCTACCTTTTTCTTTCTTTTTTCTTTTTTCCTTGGGGAGGGGACTCGAATACGGTACACCCGCTTATGGAGGCGAACTAGGGGAGGGGAACTCAGCACACCTGTTCAAGGAGGCAAACTAGGGGGAAGGGGGACTCCAACACGGCACACTCACTCGGGTAGGCAAACCAAGTAAACTAGGGGAGGGGGGACTCTAACATGGCACACTCGCTCGGGTGGGCAAATCGAGCGAACTAGGGGGAAGAGGACTCCAACACGGCACAATCGCTCGGGTAGGCAAACTAGGGGGGGGGGGGGGGGGAGGGTAGGGAGACTCAAAACATGGCACGCCGAGCCGATGCTCGGGGGACAGGAACAAGTAGGTCACGGATAATGCAGGTGTGGTGTGATAGCCTAGTGATAAGGTGTTGGTGCTTGTGGCCATGGCCCAGGTTTATAGTGGTCCCATCCCATATATGTTAGTTGCTTTAACTTAAATAATAATAATAATAATAATTAATCTCATAAATCCAATAATTTAAAAGCAAGGCTAACACATTAATAAAACATAAAAAGAAAATTCAATAGAAAATTCTCAATAACAAGATAGAGCTTTAATAATAGCCCTCAAATCTAAATTTACTTTAATGAAAAATCAATAATTTTAGATTTATAGTGAAAGTACAGGTGTGTAAGATCAAATAAATGGAGCTCATTCATCATAAAAAAAATATATATATAAAAAATTAACCAATCAAACCTTACTTCAAGATAGAGCTTTAATAATAGTCCTTAATCTAAATTTACTT